ATACAACACTGTGGCTATGTGGTACTATACATGTAAAACTCTGTTAAGAGGTTAAGAAAAACAATTACAAATTTTTTTAGAGACAAGGTATCGCTCTGTCACCCAGGCTAGAGTGCAGTGGCAAAATTATAGTTCACTGCAGCCTCCAACTCCTAGGCTCAAGTGATTCTCCTGTCTCAGCCTCTGGAGAATCTGGAACTACAGGTGCATGCCATAATGCTCGACAAATTTTTTTAAATTTTTTGTAGAGATAAGTCTCCTGTCGTTGCCAGGCTGGTCTTGAACTCCCGGCCTCAAGAGATCTTTCTTCCTCAGCCTCCCAAAGTGCTGGGGTTACAGAAGTGAGCTACCATCCCAGCCAAAATTACTATTAAAAAAAAAAAAGAAAAGAAAAACTATATCTACAACATGGAAGAATCTCACAAACATAATGATGCAAACTAGAAAGACTCAGTAGAATACATATAGTATCATCCCATTTATAGAGCTCAAAACCATGCAAAACTGAACTGTATTATTTACAGATGCATAGATCAGGGCAAACTACGAAGACAAGAAAAGCATTATCATAAAAATTGGGACAATAGGGCCTGGCGCGGTGGCTCATGCCTGTAATTCCACTACTTTGGGAGGCTGAGGCGGGCGGATTACCAAAGGTCAGGAGTTTGAGACCAGCCTGGCCAACATGGTGTAACCCCGTCTCTACTAAAAATAGAAAAAATTAGCCGGGTATGGCGGTAGGCGCCTGTAATCCAAGCTACTCAGGAGGCTGAGGCAGAAGAATCACTTGAACCCAGGAGGTGAAGGTTGCAGTGAGCCAAGATCATGCCACTGCACTCCAGCCTGGGCAACAGGAGCAAAACTCCATCTCAAAATAAATAAATAAATAATTGGGACAATAGTTATCCCTAACATAGGGAGGAGGTATGAAGAGAAAGATACACTTCTGGGGTCCTGGGATCCTGGTAATACTCTATTTCTTTCTTGATCTAGATGATGATTATGTATAACTGTAATTTTATACTGAGTCTTCACGTTTACTATGGATACAATATAATTTTTATGCATAACTAAACTTCATAATTTCTTTGTAACTATTCTTTAAATTATGTAAGTTTTTTTTTTTTAATTTTATTTTTTTGAGACAGATTCTCACTCTGTTGCCCAGGCTGGAGTGCAATGGCATGATCGTGATCTAGGCTCACTGCAACCTCCACTGCCCAGGTTCAAACGATTCTCGTGCCTCTGCCTCCCAAGTAGCTGGGATTACAGACATGGGCCACCATGGCCGGTTAATTTTTGTATTTTAGTAGAGATGGGGTTTCACCATGTTGGCCAGGCTGGTCTCGAACTCCTGCCCTTAATTGATCCACCTGCCTCAGCCTCCTGAAGTGCTGGGATTACAGGTGTGAGCCACTGTAACTCTTGGTTTCCAGCCAAATTATGTATATTTGTACAAATGTATCTTGGTCTCATAATAAATTTTTTTTTTTTTTTTTTGAAATGGAGTCTCACTCTGTCGCCAGGCTGGAGTGCAGTGGTGCAATCTCGGCTCACTGCAATCTCTTCCTCCTGGGTTCAAGTGATTATCCTGTCTCAGCCTCCTGAGTAGCTGGGATTACAGGTGTGTGCCCCCGTGCTCAGCTGACTTTTACGTTTTTAGTAGAGATGGGGTTTCACCATGTTGGCCACACTGGTCTTGAACTCCTGACTTCATGATCCGCCTGCCTAGGCCTCCCAAAGTGCTGGGATTACAGGCGTGAGCCACCGCCCGGCCAATAAAAATATATTTAAAAAAAATTAGGCTGGGCACAGTGGCTCATGCCTGTAATTCCAGCACTTTGGGAGGCCAAGGTGGGTAGATCACCTGAGGTCAGGAGTTTGAGACCAGCCTGACTTGGTGAAACCCCATCTGTACCAAAAATATAAAAATCAGCTGGGCGCGGTAGCGTGTGCCCATAATCCCAGTTACCCAGGAGGCTGAGGCAGGAGAACTGCTTGAACCCAGGAGACAGAGGTTGTAGGGAGCTGAGATCATGCCACAGAACTCCAGCCTGAGCAACAGAATGAGACTCCATCTCAAAAAAAAAAAAAAAAAAAGGAAAAATTAGCAACAAATAACAGATAAAGAATTAGTATTAAAAACATATAAAGAATATCCAGTTCCAATGAACAAATGTTCAGGGAATATAAACACAACAGCTCACCAGAATATATATACACTAAGTAAACTTATGAAAAAATTATCAAATTTTTCTAATAATTAATAACATGGAGCATCATTTCATACCTATTAAGCCAAAGAGAGAGGAATATTGCGAAAATTTACAAGATAAATGACAAGCATGAAGACTGATTTGTTAAAAGAAATAATTTGTTCAGATTTTTATTTTATTTTTTGGTAGACATGGAGTTTTGCCACGTTGCCCAGGCTGGTCTTGAATTCCCGGGCTCAAGCAATCCCTTACCTTGGCTTCCCAAAGTGCTGGGATCACAGGCATGAGCTACCGCGCCCAGCCAAGAAATGATTTAATATTGAAAAAAGCAGGCCAGGCGTGGTGACTCACACCTGTAATCCCAGCACTTTGAGAGGCCAAAGTGGGCAAACTGCTTGAGCCTATGAGTTCGAGATCAGCCTGGACAACATGGCGAAACCCTATCTCTACAAAAAATCAAAAGCCCATCTCTACAATAAATACAAAAATTAGCCAGGCGTGGTGGTACACCCCTGTACTCCCAGCTGAGGTGGGAGGATCACTTGAGCCCGGGAGGTTGGAGCTGCAGTGAGCCCTGTCTTAAAAAAGAAAAGAAAAAAAAAAAAATTCCTCAAGTGTCAGGTTAAAAAAGAAAGAAAAAAGAAAAACACTAAGTTATGAATACATTAAGGCTATAGCTACCTAAGAAATCTGTATAGCTAAATCTGTATAACTAATTTTATAGCTGAAATTTGGAAAGGACTCATGGAAAATAAAAATAGTTCAAGTGTTTGAAAGATAATATTATGACTGGAATATTTTTCTTGACATTGAGAATATGTTTCAATAAAATACAGGAACTTTTAAACAAAGTAAACTCAATAGTTCCCTGTCATTCCAGAGAACAAAATCGGTATGTCATAACTCCAAGAACTTTCACTCTCGGTCTTCGACTTGTATTTTTCATTCAGCTAACATCTACAGTGACTACTCTGTGCCAGTCATGGTAGGCATGGAGGTACAGAGATGGGCAAGTCATTATTACTGCCTTCAAGGAGCTTATAGACTAGCAGAAAATAGACATGTCAACAAATAATTACAAAGCAATGAGATAAGTCCGACAATCAAGTCTTTTCTTAAAAGACTATGGCTTCACAGATTAAGGAAAAACAGGCAAAAGATAGAGAAGCTTTTCAAAGAACACTGAATTGGATCTTGAAGGACAAGTGGAACTTTACAGACAGGACTGAGGTTGTGAAGAAGACTAGTCTATGAGTGGTACAAAGGCTGAGGTAGAATAGTATGTGTTAGAGAAACAGAATGTTCAAAAGCCTCAAGTATCATGCTAAGGAGTTTACATTTTATCCTACAGGTAATGGAGACCCTCACGGCCTTTCAGAACTGAAGTCCTAGGATTATTCTACGATTATCTTGGACCTCTTTTATTCTATCCATTTTTTATCTTAGAAAAAAATATGTAAATTAAAAGATATATATATCTTTTAATTTTTAATATTTCTTACATGAAGATACAGAAAATAGAATTACACCCATGTACCCACTAATCAAATTTAAAAAGTTAAATTGGGCCCTATTCTCTCTCTTTTAAAGGCATAAAACATTTCAGAATGATTGACGAAGGAATCTCACTCTGTCACCCAGGCTGGAGTGCAGTGGTGCAATCTTGGCTAACTGCGGCCTCCTGGGTTCAAGCGATTCTCGTGCCTCAGCCTCCGCAGTAGCTAGAACTACAGGCGCACACCACCACGCCCAGATAATTTTTGTATTTACTGCAGAGAGGGGGCTTCATCATGTTGGTCAGGCAAGTCTCTAATTCCTGGCCTCAGGTGATCCGCTTGCCTGTCTCCCAAAGTACTGGGATTATGGAGAAAGCCTGATGTTGTGGGACATGATTTAAAATCAGGCGCTCTTAGTTCAAATTCTGTATCTCTAGCACTTAATTGCCAAATGCTCTTTCTGTACAGAGACAACCTCTTTATGCTTCAGATTCTCCATGTCTAAAATGAGGACAATTTCATCCGCTTCTCTGGGTAATAATAACAGAACCCTTACTGTGTACTATGTAACAGGTAGTCTTCGAAGCATTTATTATTGCATACATTAAGTCGTTTAATCCTAACAAAAACGCCAGGAAGTAGAAGAGACCATTTCCCCCATATGATAGACAAAAACCAAGACACTTCGTGTTTCAGTAACGTGCAGTAGACACAGCTAAGCGTGAAGGAGCTAGAATTCGAACCCAAGCAATCTGATGCGGTATTCTTAATCACTTCGCTTTGCTGGGATATCGTGAAGCTACAGTTGTAAGATCATGGGTGCCAGGAACACGGCACACAGTAGACACTCAAAAACAAGAGTAGCCCAGTTCGTGATTATGGAAGGCCATAGAAAAAGTACAAAGTGTTTTCGTTGTTCCTCAGGAGGGACAGGAGGTAATAGTGCCAGAGGTCTGGGCTGGGATTACCCCGTGCGGGGCATCATGTTAGGCACTGGAGTACATGGGCAAGAACATGCCGGGTCCTAGCCCATGCTCGGCCTCCGACGCCCCGGGAGACCTTGGCAGAGTTCGCCCCTGCCCTGGGCCTCTGTTTTCCCATCTGGGAACGTATTATGTATCTGCTGTCCTCCCAGGATGTTCGCCAGACTAGATGACTCAGCGGGGCGAGGCGAGGCGAACCAGTGCAGGAAACGGAAGAACTCGTGCGGCCTCCAGCTCCGTGCCGGACAACCAGAGCAGGGCTAGGTCAGCGCAGATCTACCCGTAGTTACGCGCGCGGCACTCACCTCGCACGCAGACTCCAAGCGGGCGGAACCAGGATCCAAACTCCCCGCGGCGCGACCACGGCTGCCGCGCAGAGATCTCGCTCACTTCGCGCCGGAAGTCTGCCTATTCCGATTGGCTGCTTTCTGGGGAAACCGACCAATACTGTCGTACCCCCACATCTGTTCCCGCCCCTCAGGCTGCTGGGGCGGGGTCGCCGTGCGGCGCCGGGAGGGGAACGTATCTCCAAACCCCAATCAGAGTCCGGACGGGAGGGTCAGGTGACTACGGTTACATCCCGGGCTTCCGGCGCTAATTGGGTCTTTGTTTTTGGTGTTTTAGAGTCAGTGAAGGCTTTAAAGGAAGTAGGAAGCTAGAACCCGGCTGTGGCGGGGTTGAAAAGCTCGGGCGTCTGAGAGCTGAGACTTGCCAGTTCCCACAGGCCAAGCCAGGCGTCTTCACCCCCGTCTCTTGGTTCCGACGGTGTGTCTCTGCGAGGTTTTGGCGGTCTTGCCTCTCCATCCCCTTAATAATGCTGGTCTCTTCACCCGTACCCCTCTACACGAGCAGGTGCAAATTGTCATTGAACCGGGAAAGGGGGCGCACGCTCAGATGCCTCCAGGGACACGTGAGAAGCCATGCTTCTGTTTCAGCCTATTGCTGACACGCGGAAATGTGGGCCCTGTGGTGCCAGATCTTACTTTCTTTCCTTTCTTCCTCTCGTCTCCCCTCTCTACTTCCTTCCTTCTCTCCTTCCCTCCCGCCCTCCCTCCTCTTTGTGTGTGTGGTAAAATGTATCTAACATAAAATTCACCATTTTAAAGTGTACAGTTCAGTGGCATTAAGTACATTCACACTGTTGTGAAACCATCACCACTATCCATCTCCAGAACTTTTTCATTATCCCAAATAGAAAATCTGCCTATTACACAGTATCTCCCCATTATCCGCTTCTCACAACCCCTGATAGCCAATATTGCACTTTCTATCTGTAAATGCTAGGTACCGCATATAAATTGAATCATACAATAATTGCTCTTTTTTGATTGGGTTATTTCACTTAGCATTATGTCTTCAAAGAGCATCTATGTCGTAGCATGTATCAGAATTTCTTCCTTCTTGAGGCTGAATAATATTCCATTATACATGTATACTACATTTTGTTTATCCATTCATCCATATAAATGGATGCTTGGTTATTCCCACCTTTTGGCTATTGTGAATAATGCTGCTGTGAAATTTGGTATACAAATAATCATTCTCCATGTAATACGCAGAGACTTTTCTAAAATGTAAAAATCTGTTCAAGTTACCACCCTCCTGAAAATCTTCTACTGTAAATTGAAACCAAAATATGATGCTATTAAACAATCCATAGAATAAATGAAATGAAAAAACTGACAATTCCCTTAGTTGCAAAGATGCAGAAATGGGACTCTCATACAGTGTTGATGGAAGTGTAAAATGGTACAACCACTTTGGAAACATCAGTCTCTACCAAAATTAAATTTACTCCTACCCTATACCCCAGAAATCCCATTTCTAGATATTTACCCCCAAAAATGAATGCCTTTGTTCACTAAAAGACTTATAGCAGCTTTATTCATAATAGCCAAAGGTAAAGAACTCAGATGTCCACCAATAGATGAATAGATACATTGCGGCTTATTCATATAACTGTATACTACTGTTGAAGAGTAATTTTAATATCAAATATAATCATACAGATATAAATGTTAGACATTTTATCTAACTCATTAATGAATGAGAGAGCCAGAAAGATTACAACTGCTTCAATGGAAAATTCAAAGTACCTCACACACAGTCAAATGAGGAATAATGAAATAGCTACAAATATATACAAAAACTGGCAGAACTGATCAAATCCACAACTCAGTAATCAATTGCATTCTACTGAAAACAATTTGCATTTCTATAGACAAGAAGTGTCTATAGTTTGTAAAACCTCCAAGTTGTTCTGTAGCTCAAAGACAGTGAAAGGTTTAGAGTCCTCATAGAATCAGACATCCTAGAAAGGTAAGCTGGACAGCTGGGCACCTTGTTTTTCAATGACACCCAGTAATCATTTCTTTGTTGTTTGTTTTTAGATAGAGTCTTGCTCTGTCACCCAGGCTGTAGTACAGTGGCGTGATTTCAGCTCACAGCAACCTCCACTTCCCGGGTTCAAGCGATTCTCCTGCTTCAGCTTCCTGAGCAGCTGGGCCTACAGGTACGTGCCACCACGCCTGGCTAATTTCTTGTATTTTTAGTAGAGATGGGGTTTCACCATGTTGGCCAGGCTGGTCATGAACTTCCGACCTCAGGTGATCTGCCCGCCTTGGCCTCCCAAAGTGCTGGGATTACAGGCTTGAGCCACTATTCCTGGCCCCAGTAATCTTTTTTAGACCATTTCAAAGCTTTTCTCAGTTTTTTTCTGTATTACAAAGTAATAGGAGAACAAACTACTGGTACATACAATATAGGTGAAGCTCAGACACTATGCTGAGCACAAAAAGAGGCAGATAAAAGAGTATATAGTGCATACCAGGTTACTTCTGGAGGCAGAGGTAGACTAGGAAGCTCCACAAGGAAATCTTATGGAGTGCTGGAAATTACATATCTATCTTATATAGACATTTAGTATATTTAAAGTAATATATAAATCATTTATATATAAAATCATTATATACATATAATCATTGAGATATGTATTTTTTCAATTTTTTAAAATTTGTTTTTATTTTTTGAGACAGGGTCTGGCTCTGTTTCCCAGACCAGAGTGCAGTGGTGCCATCTTCACTCAGTTCAACCTCCACCTCCCAGGCTCAAGCAATTCACCCACCTCAGCCTCCTGAGTAGCTGGGACCTCAGACACATGCCACCACGCTTGGCTAATTTTTGTATTTTTAGTAGAAATGGGGTTTTGCCATGTTGCCCAGGCTGGTCTCGAACTCCTGGCCTTAAGTGATCTGCCAGCCTCAGCCTCCAAAAGTGCTGGAATTATAGCTGTGAGCCACCTTGCCTGGCCAAGGTATGTATTTAAGATTAATATGAGTGCACAAGCCTTTCATCACCCTACGCTAACATCCACAGAATCCTTCCAGATGGGAGGTAAAGGTTGCAGTGAGCTGAGATCACACCACTGCACTCCAACCTGGGTGACAAAAATAATCTATCTCAAAAAAAAAAAAAAGACACACACACACACACACACAATCCTTCCAGCAGCTCCCATTTGCCTTCAAGGTGAAGACCAAACTCCAATTGAGTCCCTGCTTCCTCTCATGTGTCATCTGTCCCTAATCCCCATTTTCCTGACATTTCCTCAAGGTGTTTTATAGTCTTTCCAGTTTCCTGGCCTTTGCCTCCAAATCATACCTCTCATTCATCTCAGGTCTCAGGACAACTTTTCTGCAAGTCGTTGGAGAAGTTGGGAAGTTGGAAAGCCTTACCTAATCCTCCAAATCTGCCTGTGTGTCCCTCCTGGGTTTTCCCAAAACATGAGTCAGCATTTGTATTGGTTGTATTGACACTATTAGTGTGCCTGTCTTCCTCTACAGAATATGCTCTCCATGAGGGTGTTCTTCAGGGCCTACCACAATGGCTGGCACTAGAGAAGGGCACAAAATTGAAGAACAGTGAAGACAAAAACAGTAAGATAATTAAGGCCATGTGAGACAGCAACAATATTAGCTGAGTGTCACCCTTTATTGAGTTGTGAGTATCCAACCTCTCACTTTGGGGGATACTGTTTGAGCCTAAATAACATTAGTGGCTTTATTCATTTGGTAGATTGTTTGTATCTTTGCGTTGTCTCTATCCTGCTTCTTCCTTGGCCATTTTGCTATTAAAAATCTGCTTGATTTACTCTGCGTTTTCCCATAGAGAAGGGTAGCCTGAGGAGTTATTTAACAATGATGTGTTTTGGCCAGGCACGGTGGCTCACGCCGGTAATCCTAGCACTTTGGGAGGCCAAGGCAGGCGGATCACAAGGTCAGGAGATCAAGACCATCCTGGCTAACACGGTGAAACCCCGTCTCTGCTAAAAATACAAAAAATTAGCCGGGCGTGGCGGTGTGCATCTGTAGTCCCAGCTACTCGGGAGGCTGAGGCCAGAGAATGGTGTGAACCTGGGAGGCGGAGTTTGTAGTGAGCCAAGATCGCGCCACTGCACTCCAGCGTGGGTAACAGAGTGAGACTCTGTCTCGAAAAAAAAAATAATAATAATGTGTTTTGTTTTTGCAACAAGTAAAAATTGACATATTTCACCCACATGTTCATTAACAGATGAATGAACAAACAAAATGTGGTATATCTAATATGCTGGGTGTGGTGGCTTACAGCTGTAATCCCAGCATTTGGGGAGGCTGAGGTGGGTGGATCAGTTGAAGTCAGGAGTTCAAGACCAGCCTGGCCAACATAGTGAAACCTTGTCTCTACTAAAATTACAAAAAAATTAGCCGGACTTGGTGGCATGCCCCTGTAACCCCAGCTACTCGAGAGGTTGAGGCAGGAGAATTGCTTGAACCTGGCAGGTGGAGGTTGTAGTGAGCCAAGATTGTGCCACTGCACTCCAGCCTGGGTGACAGAGAGAGGCTCCATCTCAAAAAAAAAAATAGTAGTATATCCATACAGTGGAATATCATTCGGCCATGAAAAGGAGTGAAGCTCTGACACATGCTTCAACATTCTGAGTCAAATATGCCAGACACAAAAGAACAAATACTATCTGACTCCATTTATATGAAATATTTTGAATAGGCAAATTCATAGAGATAAAGTAGATTAGAGGTTTCAGGAACTGACAGTAGGAGGGAGGGAAGAATGAGAAGTTATTGCTTACTGGGTTCATAGTTCCCATTTGGGGGGATGAAAAAGTTAGAAATAGTAGCAATGGCTGTACAGCATTTTGAATGTAATTAATACCATTGAGTTCTACACATAAAAAGGTTAAAATGACAGTTTATTTCATACATATTTTACCACACACACAAGCAGTTGCTGTGAAAAAAAAACACAACATATTTTACACACACATGAAAGCCCCAGTCAAAACAGAAATAGATTTTCAGTTTTTCTTAAAAAAGATGAAAGAAGAAAGGGTGGGAGGGTGGGAGGGAAGGAGAGAAGGAAGGAAGGAGGGAGGGAAGGAGAGAAGGAAGGAGAGAGGGAAGGAAGAAGAGAGGGAAGAA